GTTGCGTGTGCCAGGTCCTTCAGCCAATCTTTTGGGGTCTGTATTTCCTTAGAGAGCTAACAATTCAGGTATGATCACTGTTTTTCTAGAGAGCCCAGACTCAGGAATGACAGTGGAAAGATATCTGTGTTGGCAACTTACCTGAAGCACTACTGTTATCAACACTATTCAGTACTATTGTTGGTGCAATTTTATTCAGGTATATTTACTTGTATTTTTTAGCATAGAGAACATCAACAAGCCATAACTAAACATTAAAAAATTAGGAAGCGTTCATGAAGAATTTAATTCTGTTATTCAGTGTACATGCTTCCTTATTATTCTCCTTAGTTCCATGATCATTTGTGCCACTGTAACAAAGACTTGCCCGTTCAAGTAAGTTGCTATGTAACTTACCTCTATTGAAGTGCTTCTCATTGAAGCAGGTGAAGGACTACATTCAGTAGATGTGCATGCCCTTGGTTTGAGTGATACGAGCTCCGTTGTACATACTGCCCTGGAGGTACGAACATTCTGCAGCTAATCAGCCACGTATTTACATGACTGTTGTCAAGACTAAGATGAGATTTGCATTCAAACTGCCTCCTTCCATTTAAAAAAGTTCTAAAACCATTTTTGTTAATTATATGTCACATGCAGAGCACATAAGTGTGGTAGAAACCATTTTGCTTGCACTCTTTTAGAATGATCTGCATAACATATTTATGGCTTCTGTTGTCTCAAAAATATGGTCATCTCAAAGTCAAGGAAAGTCACTGTTTGCCATTCATGTATCACCAAATCATTGCCCAGTGGTTTCTGTTTCACTGTTTCAATTGACTATGATATGCTATGAAAAATAGTGGTAGGACTAATTTTGCTTTCTTTTCACCATAAGAAAGGATTGAATTAGGCCCAAATAAGGACCTAAAATCTCAGGTCTGCACTGGTTAGACAATAATCAGGCAAAGACATTAGGGAGGGCTAAGCACATCTTAATACCATTTATAACTTGCTATTGGAATAACTGGACACAGCAGCTGAAACTGCAGAGGAAAAACAAAGGAGTGAGCAAAGAAGACAAAATTATTGTTATCTCCTATCAGCGAATTTTTAAGATAATTTTTGGACATGTAGAATTAGACCATCAAATTCTATGCCTTGGTTCAGTCAATAATGTAACTTCAGTTTATTATTCAGTTTCAGCTTTGATCTGAGTTAATCAGTACTTTATTGATTTTCAGCTGAGTGGCTATAGTGTTGTCTTCTATGTTGCTCTCTTAATTAAAAAGTTAAACACTGTCATAAGTCACTATGCTCCTTTGATTTAAAATGTTTTGAGTCTTGTACTAGAGTTGTGTGTATCTGTTTGTGCTTTTGCCCGTTTTCAGACAGTATTTACGTAAGGCTAAACTGAAAAATCTAATGATACTTAGCAGCCCGCTGTCACAGTACTTAATTATGCTCCACATAGAATCACTTCTGAAACTTTTCACAGTCTCAGTCGAAATTATGTTTACTAAAATCAGAAATAGTCAAAATCTTGACTAACGTTGGATATAGATTCATTTATGTATTTTTTTCTCTCTATTAATTTTTGACTACAGGGAGGTGAAACCAGTTTTAGATGTTGTTGACTATTGCAGTAAGCCTGATTGGCTGATCAGGGTTTTTTAGATGATAGCATTAGGTCTCTAGCCTCTTTTTGAGACGTCTCAAAAAAATTAGTCTTGCCTTAGATCTCATATGGAGGGAAAAGAAAAAGTCACTGAAGACAAAAAAGCTGTGAAATGTGTATTGTAAAGCTTAACTACACTGAATACTTTTTCTTCCTCTCAAGCAGCCAAAAAAAGCCCTTTTTTAAAAAAACAAACAAACAAAAAACCCACAACAAAAAACCCACCAGTTTTACTTTTGCCTGATAGTTCCGTAATTTGTGTGAGTACTGTGCTGACTTCCTTGGAAAATAAGGAAATAATTGGAGTCTGCCAACTCCTGTCATTGTGTTTCTGCAGCTCAAAAAGCATATAGCCAGGAAGTGATGAAATTAGTTAACTAGGTTTTCATATAGGTATGGCCTATCCAGCTTGATTCTGCACAAGCATGGCTGTTAATAGCTTTCCATTCCTCCAATAGGTAGTCAACTTGAAGACTGTTTTCACTGTTAGTGAAACAATGTAATGGTATTTGTACACCATCTGCCCAGTCTTTTTTGTTCTTGCACTTTTTCCTGAACCCTAGTGAGGGTTTTCAGAGGAAAGCTCTAGCTTCAGTTTCTGTTTCTCAGTATGCACGTAGATAATGGGATTCACTTTTTATGCTCTAAGTATTTACAAACACAGAAAGTTTGGGGATAGTTTTTTTTTTAGTTGTGAATTTTCATATCAAATACGGTTCTCATTAAGGAGCTAATATGTGCTTTTCTGGTGCAGTGGTATTAATGTCGCATGTTTACCACAGTTCAGCCAAATAAGAAAATACTTTTGTATTTCACTGTTTAGTGAGTATCAGGCCCCAGTACTGAAATGGAGGGTTTGAAATTAATAGGGTTAAAAGGACTTCCACTGTGTGTATTGTGTGTGTATTATACCTACATTGCTTATACATTGTTTTTTTCCCCCTAGTATTAGCAATCTGCTTTTGTGCTTTGACATAGGGATTTCCCTTGTGAATTTTGTCACAGAAAAAAGAGAATCATCAATATCGCAGTTAAACTTGACTTTCAAAGCTAATAGTATCTCATTTGGGGGCTGAAATTTAATAAATTTTCTTTGATTCTGTGTGAGTTTTTAAACATCAAACAATGAATTGGCCAGGGTGCAGTAAAATATTTAGATCTATTGACTATGGTTCAGAAGGGTAGAAGGCAAAACACTGGTGGTTTGATGTTGATAAATTCTCAGTACCTTAATCCACATTAATGTTTTCTTTTATCTGTGTGCATACTGGCAGCAAAGACACTGAAAAGTTGGGATATATAACCTATAAAAATGTAAATCAAGTGTGTGTATGTGTGTGTATATATATGTGTATTTAAAGTAATGCATTTTGTTATATTCAGCAAGGTTAACATCTGACCAGAATTACACATGCTGACAGAACACTCTAGAGACAATGTTTGTTCCACAGGACTGTATATGCTGAACCTAGTGCACTGTGAGTGCAAAAACGTGTAGAAGACCTTTCCTGTTATAAAAATTGCATCATAGTGCATATGTTTGGCAGCCACAGGTATTGACAGGAATTCTTTAGGTCAACCTGGGAAATGTAGGGCTCCCTATTCCCACAGAACAGAGCAACGAATAAAATAAAACCTTTTTTTCTTTGTATCAGTAGATTTACACATGCATACTTCTTTCAATCAGAGCTGATTTCAGAGGCTGCACTGTTATTTGAAGCATGTTCACTCATAATCGACATTTTACAAAAAAACTAATTTTGTAAGTGGTTACAGAAAAGTAGTCTGGGATTTAGAATGAATGGCCGTATGTTTGAATTCATGTTTGGTGAGCTCTTTTGGGCGAGGGAGGCACTAAGAAGAACTGAAATTTATTTTACAGTATTTAGTAAATGTACCTATTGACTGATATGTATTTAGTATATATTCAGTATATGATTTAGTATCAGACTTTATTTTGTTGTTAAAGACAGTAAATTATTTTTGCACTATTGGCTACTGCTACTCAACAGATACGGTCCATGGCAAGTGAATGGATTTCCTCCATTCATTTGTACAAATACATACTTGTGTGGATTTGTGTCTGTCCATGTGTATTCGAATCTAATCTGACTGCTGGGATCTTCTGGAGATATGATAATTTTCGTGTTAAGTATAATGAAAAGTGGGTGTGTGGCAGCATATGGTATATGAATGTAAGTTACGTGTCCATGAAAGTTACGTACTAAGTATGTATAAATCCACATGCCTGCCGATAGACTAATCACGTGTTGTTATATGCGGAAGAACGTTGGGTTTTAAATAGCGACAGCGATATTCTTCTCGTGTGCAACACCGGGAAGCGTGCTTGTGTTTAGAGACAGCAGCGTTAATCCCTTCCCGTTGCGAAGTTTCACCTCGGCGCCGCTGCCGCTCTGCAGGTGAGCGCAGGTCCCCTTTACCCGCGGTGCCGCGCGTGGCCGGGAGGTGGCACTGTGACACCAACGGGCTCGGCTGGGTCAGTGCGCCCGGCGCCGGCACTGTCGGGGGGGTCGCTCCCTCCTTCCCTTCCTTCAGGCTGCCCGCAGAACTAGCGGAGTGCCCGGGTTTTGTGCCCGTTCTGAACGGGCATGGGTAGAACCTGTGTAAAAGTCCATTAGTAACAATTAGTGCATTATTTCTCACACTGAATCCACGATAAGCAATGTAGTAGCAGGTTGGGATTTTATAGGGTTTTTTGTTTGGTTTTTTTTTTTTGTTGTTGTTGTTGTTTGGTTGTTGTTTTTTTTCTTTAAATTTTGATTTGTTTTGTTTTTTCTCCTTCCCTTAATTGCAGAGCTACAGGTCTGTTTATTTTGCTTTCTTTGAGGATTATTCATTTTAATCTGGAGTTTAACTGAATTGGTAATAAAATGAACCATATTGTAGAGGACTGATATGATCTCCGTACAGTAGACAGAACTCATGTGCCCGCTTTGTGTTCGTGTGATCATATGAACTTTTAAATTTTATAGCTGATGTTTGTTTGTGTTGGTAGTACAAGTACTATTTCTTTTTTTTACAAGTTTTTTACAGGGGTCAGATCTGTGAAATGTATGTACCAGGTGTGCTTGTGAGCCCTTAGTGTCTCTTCTTTCCTTCTCCTTTTAGACCAGGGAAGATGCTTTTTCTTTTTAACATTCTCTCCCAGCACTCTGAATTAGAGATTTATTTGCAACGAAAAATCAATTAGTCCTAAATTTATTCATGGATTTCAGGTCCAGCGATCAATGCAAGTCCACTCAGTGGGCTCAAGGGGACCCAGTTCATCCCAGTTAATGTGTCTGAAGGGGAATTACCATTGATGCTGTTTTTTTCCCTTCAGGTCAGAGATCAGACCTTGCTGTCACGGACTGCGGCAACCAGGAATGACTTCACCCTGCAGCTACCCAAACTGCACCTAGAGACCTTTGCAGTGGAAGGGCTGAGGGGCAGGCCAGAGGTTGTGGCATTTCAGGTTAGAGTCTAAAATAATCCTGTTTCTTTTCTTCCTTTTTTTGTATCTGAGGTAGAACAAGAAGCTGGGCTGCTCTGAATGTGTGGAGAACAAAAAGCTTCAAAACTATTGCTGTCAACAGTTGAAAGGGAAATAATTTCCATATATGCTCTTGAATATGGTATTTCAGAGATGATGCGAGCTTTTAATTTTGCACATGTAATGTTAAATAACCGATGGGAATAGGGCCATGAAAAAACATGGATGTTATATTTGAAAATTCTTATCACCATATCCCAACTCCCCCTTCCCTTCCCCCCCCCGAATTTAAACAGACAAAATGGGGGAGGGAGGGAGGGAAAGAAAAAAAGGATTTTTATGCTGCTTTTTGGTCAGTATCAGATTTTTTTCCATTTTCAGTTTTAGCAGTAATAGTGATTTTTGAGCATTCCTAATTTAAAAGAAATTGCTATTTGGAATACTTAAATGTGGAAGCTATTTATTTTGTTCATGTAGGTTTAAAGACTTGTCTGATTGAAAATACCAATTTCCTTAGGAGGAAACAATGAGAAATGAAAAAAAAAAAAGATAAAAGAACTGAAAATGTACATATTTTCAGCTCTGAAAATGGATTCTGTGCAGTGCCCCCTTATTGCATTTAAAGTCTGTTATGTCTTCTTACACACAAACTATCCCTTAGTCTTTATAGCTGTGCAGAATTACTTTATTCTTGTGACACATTATTGCTAAAGCCAGAACATTTTGTTTTCTCAATGAGAGAATGAAAGGCAGAGTGAGTACATACTTCTTTCATTGTGGTCTTCTGTGCAAATGAGAGAGGAAAGCTAGTAATGTAAAAGGCAAAGAAGTCAAACAATGCAAATATTGCATAATGTGCATATATTGCTATAGTAATCCTTTTTAATTTATTGTAAAGTGTCATAGATACACTATATAATTGCAGGAACAGGGTCACAAAACTAAATGTTCAAGAAAGGCAGATTCTAAACTGGACGTTTGTCACTGAGCCTTAGTTAACCCAGCTGTATGTCTCTAGCAGACAGTAGAGTTGCAAATGTTACCTAGCACAGTACAGTGATGATCAGTTTTAAGGCTGTGCAAAAGGTTCCACAGGTGGCATCTTTTCAAAGAAGCTGTCCTGGAAATCACAAGCCTTTAAATGCTGCTTTTCTAATTTGGTGGCCTATTCAGTGGTAGCTGCCTTTTTTCTTTTTTTGTCCTGATCCAACTCCCATTCTTTTTTGACTTCAAAATGATTGTAGGAGCATTTGGAAGACAGCCTATTCTTTCTTTCTAAGGAGATGAAGAGAAACAGAAGTATAAAAACTTGTATTTCACATTGGTACAGATTGCGTCTGGTATAACTAACACACAGTAATATATGCCCTGGGTAGGTTACTGGTGGTGCAGTATTGTAAACACACTTTTTGTTCACCTGACAGCTCCTATTACACATGGTTACCGTGTACACACATAAACAACATCAGTGGTTCACAGTCTTATCTCACTATGCAGTTCCTTTTCTTTTCTCTCCCCTCTCCTCTTTTTGTCTCTAGTTACATACTGCCTGTTTGATAACTTTCACTACATTATAGAAATTATATTATAAAATTTCCTTTTTATACCTGGGAGTCAGCTAATTGATTTTAATTTCACTGTACGTAAAACTGTATTAAGGGCAATCCTACAGTCCTGAATGTGGTAAGCATATAGCAATCACTTTATGGACACCTCGTATTAAAACCAGTGGAATTGTTTGCATGCACAGTCTCTTTAACCACTACTACTACATATATTTTATAGTCTGTGACAAGTGCATTTCAATTAAAGGCCTTATTAACTGCAAGTGTTAGACATAAGGAGTTTTTTTCCAAGTCTAGATTTGTTGATGTTTTGTGGTTTCTTTAAAAAAAAAGTAAAAATTAAGATACTAACTTAGACAGTATGATAGGGATGAAGCACTGGGTATCAGAACTCTTGAGTACTGAAGAGATTGCATTGTTTTATTTTTATTATTCATGAATCCAGTTCACAGTTAGGTGGCTGGAATCAGTAATTCATAATAACTTGATAACTGTTGGTTCAGTGTGTATCACTTCATCATCATATGAGGGGAATAAAAAAAAAAGTATATTTCTATGTTCATACACATTTTTTCTTCCAAATTTTTCAGAAAGCAAGTGGCTGTTAAAGGCCTTTTGAATGGAATTTACTTGACGGGCTATATTCCTTGTCACTGAGAAAACAGGAAAGTCTGAGGATTTTTAGATTGCTGTTACTTCTATATGAAAGTTTCCTGGGAGAAATATGCTTGCTTTATGGGAGACAAGTGCAAAGAAGATTGGCATGATGAACCTAGGGTGCTTGACTGTGAACTTGGTGAGAACATGATTTAAGGTGTGCTGCTATGGCCATGCCTGAATGTTCCCACTGAAGACAGAAAGTGGAACCATACATAAAGCCTCCAATAACTACAGGATATAGGGTGAAAAAGAGCAACTAAAACAACATGAGATTCCTAATACTAGTAGTCTTGCTTGGCAGATTAGTATTTAAATTAGCCAGTAAAGGTTATAAAGACTTTAGAAAATACAAAATCAAACTATGCTACAGCTTTAGGAAGAGGATAATGTTCTCTTAACTCTCTTCTGAAAGAATGTTATTGGCTCACAGAAAAAGTGGTTATTCAGAAGATTCAGTCTGAATTGTCTGAAGTACTTTCGCATCAGATACGTAATTAAGACTCATCACAAGCAATCTGATCTAAAAAAACAATACATAAAGTTCCTAAATAAAGATAGTTTTAAACCCATGTATAAATAATTAAGCATTGGTATTCTCTCATGGTAAATTTCTTGTATTTGGAGTTCTAGATGCAGAAGGGTAAGAACTTCTGTGAAAGAAACTTCTAGTCTGATACCTAAAATTGCTTCAAGTTTTGCAATAGCAGTAGGATGTATAGTGTATACTTGATGTGTAAGTACTTGACTTGATGTGTAAGTACTTGATTTCCAAACAGGGGGAGGCTAACAACATACAAATCAGTGTAAGGTTATGTTCTATATCTACTGTTACAGGGTGGTTTTACAGGAGATACCGGAGGTGTACTTTAAACCCAGGTATGGTTGCCTTAAACTGTGTTTATGAAGCATGTCCCAAATGTTCTCATACACAGAAGTAACAGATCAGTTAAGTCATTGTTGGTGAAAACCAGTGGCAACAAGAAACTAGCCATGCTTGACAGAATCGTATCTGCTGCATGTATGAAAGACACACATATGACTGTGATCAGCCAGCGACTGGTGTTCACACGTGGTAGCTGCTTACAGATATGCATTTAGGGAAAGAATAATCATTTTCTGTGTCATGGAAACTACTTTGACCTCTGTCTTCAAACTCTCCATTTGCTTATTTTATTAATTGGCCCTATTAGTTTGTGGTGCTTGCTTTGGTGACTGTTTAGCATGGTGGGCCTTTTCCTCCTCTAATCTCTGCTTGTTAAAGGATATGGTGTGACTTCTGGATGTTGGTTTGGAAGACAACCAATATTCACAGGTGAATTTGTGTTGCTTTTTCACAGGATTGATACTTGATAAATACGAGGTGAGAGTGTTTCAAAGCTATAGTAATCATGTCGTTTTACCCTTTGAGATATTGCGCATTTTTCCAAATGGGCAAGTTTTGTAAGTGACTTTAATGAGGATGTGAAGGTTTAATGCATTTATGCAGTGTATGAAAAAGCAAATGTAAAGATGAGACTACAAGCAGGGTTCTGGTTTAAAAGGACATATACACAAATCTATAGATGTTGGTATTCATAGGTCTTAGTAGAAAGCATTTGTTTGTGTGCTGCTTTTCACTTGGAATGTAAGATTGACCTTACTGTTGGGAATCCCTTGCATATTAGGAAAAATTTAGTTTATTCTAACCGAGGACTTGAGTAGGTAAATCTGTATTTTCCATTACTAAGCTCTCCCTTAATTTTGAAAGGTACTACAACTTGTGATGTGCTTTCTCTCCTCCAAGCGGGTTTGAGGTGGATAATTTTCACTTTGTCTCATCTGTCTCCCACTCTTCTTGTTTCCCTTTCTCTGCCACATGCTCTTGTTCCCTCCTGCACATTGTCTCTCCCCGTGTCCTATGTGCACACTCTCCACTGCATGTGTGCAGCGCACTTGCTCACTGCTGCATGTGCGCTGCCACACACACTCTTACCTGCTGCTGTTGCTTTCGCTATCCCTGCCATGCCTGCTGTACACACGCTCATGCTTTCCTTTGGTCCATCTCTGCCTGCTGCTCTGCTTCATCTCTCTCCCAGTATCTGCCACTCTCGTGCTCCCAGTGGCTGCCCTGCTCACTCTGCCTGTCACCCTCTCTGTCCACACTGTCCCCATGCCTCTGGCTCTCTTCCTTTCCCTCAGCTTCTCTCCCCCACTGTTTTCTGCTCCTTCTGTGTTGCTCTGCCCGTCTCCAGTGTGTGTCCGTCTGTTTGTGGAGGTTTAGAAAGTCCATGTGGGATTTATATGTACTTTGCATTGCTCAGGTGTTTTGAGGTAGTTTGAAATGAAAAATGAAAAGTAATAACATAGAGGCTTATAGCAGTGGTAGTAATATAGTCAAGTACTGACATATCTTCAGTGTTAGCGTATAATCATAAATTTATGAAGGCGTAGGTTCCTACCATTTATTTTATGTAAATTATGTATTCATGTATGATTTAGTCATACATTATCTGATTGTGTTGTAGGTCCACTTTTTCTAATTAATTGGGAAATATAAATGTAGTTTAAAGTATTAGGAGCTTCTTAATTTGTATTTTATTTTCACTCGTTCATTACTTTCAGATTTATACTTGATAGATTAGAAGGTAAAAGATATGCATAATTCTGCTGATAATTTTTCTTAAAATAATAAATACTTTCTCATCCCCATGTTTACTTGTCAATAAAATATTCTTACCAAATTGAAGAAGCAAGTGATTTCAAAGGTAAGATTATATT